TTAAGTAAGTTAACGTAAAGTAACGTAACTAACTAGTAAGTAAGTAGTAAGTAATATAATATATATATATATATATATATATATATATATATATATATATATTTAAAAATCAACTTTGTGACTGGGGTATTTTCAAAATAATTTAAAAAAGGGTCATTTTATGGTTTTTTTATTTTTTTAATATCCCCGAGAGGGGCACCCAACTCGGGGCAAATCAGGATCACCAGGGCGTCGAGCCCAAGTACTCGGCCTGATTACTCGGCACTTAGACCAAGTAGTCAAACACTGCTCAAGTCCACTAGGTCTCAGGTGAGTTATGCAGACCTACCCTAGGTGCGAGGCCATGTAGGGACGGGTTTTATGACAACTCGCAGCAACCTTATTAAGAAGGAAAAATAGAAAAATAAAATAAAATAATAATAATAATAATTCTGGTGAGGCCGAGTTGGGGCGAGTTCCATGGCAATTCACCTATCATTATTATGGAGGGGAAAATGGGAAAAATATAAAAAATTTGGAAAACACCATCATGTTACTTACGATTAGTTTATGGATAATTTTGATAGTTTTAAAGGCAATTTGGGATTTTTTTTTTAAATTAAAAAATATTCGAGATCTAAATTTTCAATATTTCATAGAGTGTTTTTTTCCTTTTAGATCTCTAATGAATTTGACTAGTTGTGTTTTTTCTTATTTTTAACTAATTTTTAAAAAGGCCTTTTAATGGATATGATGATTATCTAAAATCACTCACATAAGAAAATCATGGGATTAGGATTGATATTGATAAGGTTCGAAAGGAAATAAAAATAAAATAAGTTGGGATTATGTGGGATTAGGATTGATATATAAAGGAAATAGAAATCCAAAAGAATAGGACACTTATGATATATATCTCGATTTTAGGAGATATGTAACCTCTATGACAAATCCATTGATTTTAAGATATATGTAACCTCTATGAGAAGTTTAGTATTTGGTGTAGGCTCTTAACCTTTATAAAAGTACATAGAATTTGTATGTTTTATTTGGGTCATCATATAGGAAAGGTGGTTTCCTGTAGAGAAGAAAGTTTAGGTCACCATATGGGAAAGGTGGTTTCTTCGAAAGAAGAAAGTGCATCGAATTTGTGTGCTTTATTTGGGTCACTATAAGGGAAAACGGGGTTTCCTCTAAATAGAGGTAGGGGCCTCATATGCATGAGAGGCAATGCCTACGCCTAAAGAGAAAAGAGCTTTCTATGGAGAGAAGTTCCGCATTGTGCCTCATGTAGACTGAGGAGGCTCGTTTCTTGTAGAGAAGTGATTCCCATGAAGATTTTGGGTGGTTTCTCGTTATAGTGAGAGAAAGTCTCGAGGTTCTCCTCCTAGACAATGGTTTAGCTATTGAATGGAGATGATATATTTTTCGACAGTAGTTAGCTGTTGAATAAAGATGAGAGGTCGATTTCTTGTAGAGAAAGCCTTGATTGCTTTTAAGGTTCTTCTCTCTCTTCCTGGATAGTGGTTAAGCTGTGGAATAGAAATGAGAGGTCGACGATGGTTCCCAATTGGAATAGTGGATTTGAGTTTGTCGTGGTTGTGGATGTAGATGTAGCACTCTAAATCTTTATGCTTTTGTGATATGTGTTTCATGCTTTATTTATCATATTATGGCTCGTGATCTCGCCTATTTTGTTTATAGCTGGAAAATTACATGATCTTGGTGAGATCCAACTTTTGGGATTCTTATTTTTGCATCAAAGATGGTTCTTAAATCCTAACACTTTTGGCCTTTAAATATTAATAAAAAAACTTGAAAATTTTTGAAAAATAAAAGACTTGTAATTTTAAACCTAAAAATAACTTTAAAAGTTAAAATATGCTTAAAAATGTATAGAAAGATCAATTTAGAAAAAAAAAAAGAAGTTCAAATAAGGTTGCATTTTTAAAATATAGAATTAAGGGGCACCTTAAACATCTATTGGAAAAGGTTGTTTTGATGTTGGAAAATTCTCTAATGGACCATCTTGACATCGACATGTATGAATATAAAAATAAAAGAATTTTGAGTCCCCAAATATAGTACATCTTACAATGCATTAACTGAACCATCCATTTTGAAGATTCTCATTTACATATGTACTTGATTTGAGCCATTTTTTGAGTTTAAAATATTATAATTGGATATGAATATGAATCCTTAGGTCATTCTAAGAATGACAGCAAAATTACATGTTAGGATAAAATTTGGAGGTGTGCCTTGATTTGATTGTTTAAGGTTGCAACCTTATGCAAACCAAACCTTAAGGAAAACCTCATAAAGCAGAAAAATAAATTTACAGTTTGCGATATTTGTAAAAATTCCAAGAAAAGAGGAAAGTATAAAAATAGTGCTTATAACAAAAAACAATCATTAACTTTGCTAAATACATCCAAATCATATATAAAAATATTATAAAATAATCCAATACTTTTAAAAAAATTAGAAAATTTAAAATTTGTTTTTATATAACTGAGGTGTACATCCATCTCAGGGAAACTCGACTCAGGCAGTTCACAACACACTGTTTATATTTTTTCAGTTTCAAAGGACCAGTTTAAATCATTTTCAAGCCTCCTAGCATGATAGACTTAGTTATTTCGGTTTTTGAACATTTCCATTATTTTCTGTTGGAAATTCCAGAATCGGGACGATCTAGAACGGAATTGCTGATCCCACGGTTTACCGAGTGACTTCCAGAGCCAAAATTCTGATTACGTGATATTATATTATGGAGTTGTGCAACAATAATCTTCTCATTAAAATTATTGATATGGACATTCTTGAACTTTTTCTTGTTTTGTCAACTCTATACAAATTACGACAATTATGACTCGGTAATAATTTCATGAATTTCAGGTAAGAAGAGCGTGTGGATATGTGGGTTGGTTCAACAATTAGGGATTTGTGGCACTGCGATTGCTTACACAATTACTTCAGCTATGTGCTTGAGGTATGCGATATGATATTTATCTATGATTGTTACTTGGAAAGTGTTTTACCATATGATGAGATTGGCGTCATAATTTAATGGAATAATCTAATTGTTCAGGCTTCCATAACACTGCCTAAATATAGATTCACATTTTAAAATTCTAGGGTAAAATAAGGCCTAGTCCTTAGAAAAAATAAAAAATAGAGTCACATCTCGAATTTTACCGGGACTTATAATTCCAACGTTCAAAAAGATAAATGGTCTCTTTATAGACAAAAAAAATTCAAATTTGAAATCTAATAAGTGAAAATGGTTGTGACTTCTATTTACAAAAAATAAATAATTTTTTTTTTTTGTAAACATTTGGCTTTTTCCTCTTATTTTTGTGGATACAGGGCTATTCAAAGGACCAATTGTTTTCACACAGAAGGACATAAAGCTGCTTGCAACTATGAACACACAACTCATTTTGCATTGACATTTGGTGTGATACAAATAGTGTGCTCTCAGTTACCTAATTTCAAGAGCATTGGCTGGCTCTCCATCACGGCAACCATAATGTCTTTCTCCTATTCATCTATAGGTTTAGGCCTTGGCCTTTCAAAAGTAATAGGTATCGCTTTTCAATCTCAAAGTTAAATGCTGAGCAAGGGTTGGCAGAATCTTAACATCAGTAGTTGCTAGCATAGAGCAAACCAGTATTGGATTATTTGTCATCAAACGCAATGTGGTATATATGCTGAGTTAATACGTTAGGTTTTAGCCACCTAAAGTAATTAAAAATTCTTCCAGACTAGAAATTATGCTCCTTCTATACATTTACTCTCTCGGCCAAAATACCCAGTAAAGAGGGGTTTCTTTAGAGGGTGTAGTTTGTATAAGGTTTTGACACTAGACAATCCAAATAAATTGGACCCCCATATTCTATTGTAATTTTAGTGTTCAAAATTCTTAGGATGACCTTATAGTCCTTTTTTTATCTCTAATTATGAATTTTTAAAATTCAAAAATAGTTCAAATCAAGTAGATCTATAAGCACATGAAATTCTTAAAAAATGGACAGTCTGGATAATATGTTGCAAGATACACTATTTTTTAGACTAAAAATTTTTATTTTTTCATATAATCCTATATCTCGTTGTCGAGATGATCAATTATAGAGTTTTCCAATATCAAAACGACATTTTTCAATGGATTTTTGAGATGCACCTTGATTCTATATTTTAAGGTTGTCACTTTATATAATCTTTTTCCTTTTTAAAATATCCAAATGAGTTTTCTAAAGAAGCCAAAAGATATGCTATTCCAAGCCAAAAGATATGCTGTTCCAATGGCAGCAGAATGTTCATTTGCTCCCTTGGGTAAATCCCAAGGTCGAAATATTTTTAAGGCACCAAATTTTTTGGGATATAACCTGAGGAACGTCGAATTTTTTAAGGGAAAGATCTAGGTGTCGAATTTTTGAAGGGAAAGATCTAGGTGTTGAAGAACTCAAAATCCACTCTCTTTTTTTTTTTATAGAAAAAATCATTTAGTTATTCTAAGCAGGATCCCAAAAACTCAAAATAAATTTTTTTCCAAAGTACGTTTTTACCTAAGTGGACTAATACATAGTATGCCCCTGCAGGAGCAAATTATACACACTCTTTTAAAGAAAATGCAATTAGAATTGGGTGCAGTTTGTATAGAGCCTAGGCTGTAAACGATCAAATTACAGCCTACCTTCAAATAGTATCAAGAAATGTGGTTTCAATACTGCAAATCTTTGTGAAAGCTTTAAAATATATTTTTATTTTTATTTATTAATTTTAGAGGCTAAAAAATAGAATAGATCTAAAGATCTATGAAAACTTGAAAATCTTGAAAATTGACGGTCCAAAAATGCGTTACAAAATACACTATTTTCAAAACTTAAAATCTATTTTTTTTTTCTCATGTCTATGTAACTTGATGTCTAGATGATCAATTTGAGAATATTTGAACATCAAAACAACCTCTTCTAGAGAAATTTTTAAGATAGGCTTGAATTTGATTGTTTAAAACCTCGACTCTATATAGACTACTCCCATTAGAATTTGAGTTCATAACATTTATATTTGACTGACCCTGCTCGAAATCGCTCTAGTTGGCTTGAACCCAGCGTTTTTCCACCAGATGGTCTCAAGCAGGGAATCGCTCGGATTGTCCAAATAGTTCACTTTAGTGAACCACTTGATTCATTGTAGGAACCAAGCGATTCTCTCTCTTTTTTTCCTGTTCTTTTCCTTCATAGTTGTGGTCGACTTGATTGGAATCAGCTTGCCAGCTCGAGAATCAACGAGCTGATTCCGATCAATGAGTGCCCCCGAGTCGGCACCCAATTTCTATTTTTCGGGTGCTCCCTTAAATTATTGACATGTACACAAGTATATTTGGAGAGACACAAATACCCCCCCCTAACTTAAATACAGTAGATGTCTCATTTAATCCATGTTGTCAGATTTGTCTCGGAGTCTCCGTCGGTTTTATTAGTAGATTTTGGATTTTTTTAAAATTTAATATAAATAAATTAGATATTTTTATATAAATATATTAAAATTATGGAAAAAATTTAAAATAAAAATTTCAAAAACTAAAAAAAAAATCTGTTATATAAATATTTATTTGCTTTGGCCAAATCGACCCGAAGGAGACCCTAATATGGTTGAAGAAGTCAAAAGCGGCAACACCAGGCTTCGCTTCAATCTATGCTTAAAATATGAAGGCTTCGGCCTCTTCAGCTGAAGCGAATTTGACAACGCTGCATCACATTATTGATTAAACTAAATAGCTAGTGGTATTTGATTATCATTTTAGGAAAAATTGCCCTCTAGAGCAGTTTGGCAATCTTCATATGGATTTGGAGCTTCTTTCAATTTCCGATTAAGTATTTTAATTTTTGTTTTTTTCGGGATGCAGAAAATGGGAAAATATATGGCAGCATAACTGGGGTAGCAATGGTCTCAACTGCTGAGAAAGCACAAAGGATATGTCAAGCACTTGGAGACATTGTTTTTGCATATCCATTTTCCGCTATTCAATTCGAGATACAGGTGAGGGGCAAAAATCGACAAAGACAATTAAAATATGACCCTAGTACCCCAGTTTTGGCACACAGGTCCACTCCCTTTTATGAATGGTGGGGATTAACTGTACATCTCAAAGATGGACTTTCACATGGGTACGGTTGATCTCTACCGTCCATATTTGGTAACGGACGGTGAATATTCTTGTGGTTTACCGTATGCCCTTCCAATGGATGGTCTATTGTAATGCTTAAAATTGATATATATTTTTTTAATAGTGCACATATATTATGCTCCTGCATCTACTCCCTCAGTCAAGATACCTAATTGGGAGGATCTTTTAAGTCTCAAGGTTTGGAAACTACTCGAGAATCGGTAGATAATTGATCTCAATAAAAACAATTGAATTTTAAGTTTCTTGGTACTTAGATTTAGCCCTTCAAAATTTGGACTGTCTTTGTTCAATTTATTTCTAATACATAGAGACATTATTTATTTCTAGTACATAGAGAGTTCAATTTAGATTTGTTTTTGTTTTTGCTTTTTGTTTCTTTTTTTTATATTGATTTTAGTCTATGAGTTGAAGAGGTTACATACCCATGATTTGGGGTCCTAAGACTACTCCTATATTAGGTCTCTTCCAAGAGAGTAAATGGAAGCCCTCAACAATTCCATGTCAACCATAGATATTTATGCAGAAAATCTGAAGCATTTGATCAGTGGGAAAACATGTTAGCGAAGATCTGCTCCCACAACTAGGGGTGTTAATGGGCCAGGTCAGACCAGGTGCAACATGGACTGTGCTCGGGCCCCTTCATAGTGACTGTCGGCTGGGTCGGCGACCTTAGTGGAACTTCTTCATGTGTACTGATTCTTAAGAAGACTTCCACCATGAAGAGGGAGATATAATTGAACTCGTTTGGTTCCTTGATAGTTTCTGACCAACAGACATTTCTTTGTCTTTAGTAATTTGCTTTGAACCTTCTCTTTTTTAGTAATTCAATGGGGAAAACGGGCCCCTAACTGTCTTTTCGAATAATTTACGAGTTATTTTCTTTTAAGGTATTAATAGGGTAGTATTAGTAAGAATGGATACCACAAAGTAAAGAAAGTAACTCAAAGTCATGGCATGCAGGATACATTGAAGGCGCCACCCCCAGAAAACCAGACAATGAAAAGAGCTTCAACAATAGCCATGGCAATCACCACCTTTTTTTATCTATGTTGTGGATGCTTTGGGTATGCAGCATTTGGAGATGCCACTCCTGGAGACCTCTTGACTGGTTTTGTGGAGCCATATTGGCTTAACGACTTTGCAAATGCATGTGTTTTCCTTCATTTAGTTGGAAGTTACCAGGTAAACTCAAATGAAGCTCACTAGTGCTATATTTTCCTGCAAGTAATAGACTGGTAATAGAGTTGTTTAGGAACATTTTCAAAAAAGAGAAGAAGCTTAAGATTATCCTAGAAATGGTGAAAATGTTAGAATGGATTGGAACATAGTACTTAAAAATGCATATGACAAGGGGAACACACATGTTTTGCCACTAGACTAGCTTCTTTTTGGCCTATGTTTAGATGGCATAGTAAAAATTTAAACATGGTTCTAACTTCTAAGGAAAATTATCAGAATATGCGTAACTTATCGACTACTTGACATTTTACACATTTTCAATTATTTCAGCTCATGATCGTATGCATCGTGACGAAATTTTGAAATTATATAAATAAGATGTTAAATAGTTGATTAGTTATGTGGATATTGACAAAATTTCATTGTTTTATTTTGCTTTTTGCAGGTCTATAGCCAATCCCATTTTGCCTTTGTAGAGAGATGGTACGCACAGAAGTTCCCTAATAGTGTGTTTAGAGAAGGGTCATATATAATGGATGTTCCATTCATTCATGTTAACCACATCAGTCTATTTAGACTATGCTTTAGGACTGCATATGTTGTCACAACCATCAGCATTGCAATCCTCTTCCCTTACTTCAATCAAGTTTTGGGAATTTTGGGGCCATTGAGATTTTGGCCCATTACTATTTATTTCCCAGTTGAAATGTACATTGTGCAAAAGAAGGTGGGGGCTTGGACAAGGAAATGGGTGGCCCTTAAGATGTTCAGCTCTCTTTGCTTGTGTATATCTATTGTGGCCTTGATTGGGTCTATCCAAGGGCTGGTGGGCCAGAAGACAAGCTAAACAAAACACACACACACTCTCTCTCTCTCTGTCGACCCCCCCAGCCTTGTGAACAATTACTGCCCAAGATGATATATCTGATTGCAAAGGGCAGAATAAAAGTTCATAATTTAAGGACAAGGGAATTTGATGCTTCATATGTGCCTCTAAATCAGATTGGAAACTAACAAATACCCATTTTCATTGCAGCTCAGTTGAACTCCATGGTCATCAAAACCTTATGTTCTCGATCCATATGTTCTTTGATGATCTAAAGCACTAAACATGCATATTTGGGGCAAAATAAGAAATGGGAGGTTCTTCTCAAGAGAAGAACCTTCCCAAAATACGATCTTCTCAAAAAAAAAATAAATAAATAAAATAAAATGAAGAGGAGACCTTAAGAAGAAAAAAAAGCTCAAAATAAATTGTCACAGCCAAACTCAATTCCAGTGCTCCACTTGAATGGGAGAGTTGATCTAAGGGGTTTAGAGCTTTTTTTTTTGGAGATCTAAATTAAGTTGTATTTGAAGCCAAAATATTTTCTACTCCTATGGGAGTATATTGCCCATATACTCCCTCAAGAAAAACTAACACTAGCAATATTTCTTATATCCCAAATTTGGGGGATGTATTCTTTAGAGACCACGGACCAACTAAATCTCACTCTCTACCTCTCTAAAAAGAGTGACATCCATTGTAGAGAAACCTTCAAATGTTTGGAGGGAACGATCTTAATGTTCAAGAAGTCAAAATCTAAATATTTTCCTTGATAATAATCATCTAGTGATACTTAGATGGAACCCAAAACTTGGACTGAAAAGTAATTTCCCAATTGACTATTTTGCCAGAGGGAGTTAATGTACAGTATATGCCGGTGCAGGAGCATGCTATAGGCGCCATTATTTGAATTAAGCACGCTGAAAACTATCTTCTGAAAAAATAGCTTGGAGTTCCAAAAGTACTCCAAATCTATGGCAGCCCCAAAATCAAATTTTGGCCATCCATTTTGAATAAATATTGGATCATATGAAGCTTTATTGAAGATTGAAATCGAATATTTTTAGGAGGATATTATTTGGAGGGGATTTGGTGTTTTTTTTCTCTCTCCGTTCCAAAGAATCTCTTTGAACCATCTTCTCTATTCTCTACCCTCTCTCTTATCCGTAATGTCTGCACCTATCTCTGTATATGTCCTCTCTCTCTCTCTCTCTCTCTCTCACACACACACAACAATCTTTAATAAATTTGTATAAAATCAATAAATCTATGTAATTTCTCTATAATTTGTCCATAAATAAAGAAATTACAATGACTTATTGCTAAGCAGTATATTTTCAGTTAATAAATAGAGAAATTACAATTCTTTCTGATCACCTTTCTTAGGTAAAGATTTAGAAACCCCTGGAAAGTGAGTCATTGGTTTTCAATGGGGATTGAAACCATAGATTCGGTGTTTAATGGCTTTTGTGAGAAGCGTGATTCATTGAATTATCGCTCAAAAGATGAAAAAGAATTTCTCATCAGTTTGATAGGACACATAAATGCATTATGTAATCGGATTTTAGTTTCTTAGTACAAGCAGGACGCCATCCATTTTGTGTATTAAAATACTATTCTCATGTAAAAGTTAGAGACTTGGTGTCACATGAATTTGTTCTTATTGAGGTATATGTAATAATAAGTACAACAAATAATAAAGGAAAATATTTATATAAGGTTGCAACCTCATTTATAGAAGCATGGTCGAAGTAATCTATACCATCTATTTTAATTGTGCAATAAAATTTACAGGCACGATCACATCTCTTGCTATCTGAATCTAAATCTCTCTTCTTCTCGAATTCCAGTCAAGAGAAGTAATGCTTCAACAAGAATTGCACCACCAACTGTGAATCAGGAGAAGGATGATTCTGCTTGGTTTTAGAAGCAATAGTCGACATGATCATTTCAAAGTGTTCGATAAGTAATAAGATTACTTCTTCAAGAGAAATTATAATTAATGTCCAAGGACCCCCAATCTACTGTACAGTGGTGGGACTATAATTCTTCATTAAGGTCTAAGCTACATGATGCATGGGATTGTTTTACTTCATTACTTGCACATATAACTTCTCATTTGATTAAAAAAGAGCTTACCACTTTAAAGCAACTCTTTGCACAGTGGAGGGATTTATTACTCATCATTGATGATAATAAAGAATTCCATAGTCGATGAATTATTTCATTGATTCATCATTTCTAACAAATGAGATGACAAATTTTCTAAGTTGTTAGTTGAAGCAACTATTAATACATAGTATTTCTCAAATGGTTGTGTAATTTATTTCTTGATTGAAACATGATAAAGCAAATACCTGTCCAAGTGTTGTAAACAAATTAATAAAATAATAATATTAGGGGCAATGCTCATTAGATTTTCAAGGTAGGTTTTCCAATACGAAAAGTATCCCCTCCACATTGTGTGGACGGTTGGAAGGTTGCACGAAATTTCACAAGGTCATATCTAAAGGCCAAAAATTAATTTTGCATTTCATTTTTTATTTTTTTAAATATTATACTTGTCTAGAATTTGGGATGTAAATTTGTCTTTATAAAGAGGATTAATTAAAAATAATTTAAATTATTTTAAATAAAAATTACCAAAACACCCCTAAATATATTTTAGTCAATATTTTTTTTCAAAACATTTTTATTATTTTATTAATTTTGCTTATAAAAGTGAACCTAAAACTTAAATTTTAGACAAATATAAATTAAATGAAAAATAAAAAATAAAATTAATTTTGTCCCTCGGATGAGGCAAGGCTAAATCTCAACTATTAAATGGTGCTTCTGCATATTTCAAATATTGCGTTTTATGTAACTACCCATCTAAGGTCATGTAAGAGTTTTCTAGAAAGGCATGATCAGGAAATCATAAATATTTGTGGGCCAATTTGTGGGGCTTGCATAGGCCAATTACTTGGATGGCAATAAAGGATTTCCCTAAAATGTGTGAGAGCGAGAGAGTTTATCTCTCTAAATTCACCTAACATTTCTCTCACGAAACCATGCATACCTAACTTCCAGTCATGGCCATCTCTCTACCAGTCAAAGGCTTTGAAGTTGGGGTTTCCCCAAACCAGACGCTATGCTATTGCGTATAAGATATCAGTTGTGTGCACCTCCATTGATGGATGAGTGAGAAAATGACCTTTTCCTTTTTGCTTTGCTTTTGCTATCTTTTTTTATTGATGGATGGACGATAAATTGACCTTTTCCTTGTTCTTTTCTGTTATAATTTTATTGTTCTTGAGTGAAGAGAGAAAACAAAACCTAGAAAAGTCTTGTATCATATAGTGCAGATGCCGGTGACCAAGCGCGGGGGACCTAGGACAGTCCCCGCTTAAAAATTAGGGCTTAGGTCACAAAATGCGGCCATAGGGCAGGTCGAGCATACAACATGTCCAACTGTTTTTTCTCTTTTTGTTTCGCCAAACGATTTCCTACTTCCATACTCTTCATCTACTCCCTCGAGAAAAACTTACACTAAAAATATATTTTAGATCTCAAATTTTAGGGATGTGGCCTTTAAAACCCAACAACTAACCTCAAAGAAATAGAAAATAAAAAATGAAAATCAACACGCAGCCTCTATGTGCCGCAAAAAAAGACACCCAATATTAAACCATCCAATTTTTGGAGGGAATGCTCAGTATAATCAAGAAGTCAAAATCCAAACTTTATTCATTGAAAATAATCATCAAGTTATAATCAGATCATCGTGTAATTTCAAAAAAAAAAAAGTCTCGTGTGAGTGTTTTGCCCAATTGAATGAGCATAATACACACGCTCGTTTGTTTTATTTTTATCCGAGTCTATTAGGGCTAATCCGGCCCACACAACGGAAGGCTAGGCCTAGGTTAGGGCCTTTCAACCTAGTCGGAGCGAAGCCAAACTCAGTCCTGTTCTATGGGAATCCGAGCTAGCCTGGGTCCAAGACTAACCAAGCTTGTTGCCAGCGCTGCGGTCACACCCCACATAGAGAGGAGAGATCAAATTATGACAAGAGCCAATGTCATGAGAGGAAGATAATTTATAGGAAACAACGAAATTTATGGTTTAAAATGCATTAGTGCATTTCGTTTTAATATGTGCCTGACCTTAAATCCTCGAACACCTTCTCATCTCAACTCTCATTTTTTAAATCTTCACTAATTGTAATGGGACAGCTTTTTACTTCCCTAAAAGAAACATATAAAAAGGCATGTCAAATATGGAATCAAATTGGCAAACGCATGTGGAACATGGACATGAGTGTCTAGTTTTTTTACATTTTCTAATCTTTCTTGTCGAAATATCATTGTAGAAATATTCTTGTTATTTGAAATCCTCTACCTCAGACCTTTTAGATGGTGTGCGGATTTGTCGTATCTCATCATTGTCAAAATCTTTTATCAATTAATTAAGGTCGGTTACACGAATTCTAGTACTTTATTCTACTCTATTAAATGTCATATCCGCAATGAGATCAAAAGTCCTCATATCTTTTTTTACTACTTTCAACCATATCTTTTTGAGTCAACCCCTTGCTTTTTTTTTAACCTTCCACTTGAATTAACGTGCACTTTCTAACAGATGTTGTATTGGGTCTACGCCATACATGGCCACTCCACCTAAGTCTACTCTCTCTCTCATCTTATAGTCTATTGCAACCACACTTAAATTTTTCTGATTGTATTTATTTCGAATTTTATCTGTTCAGATCTTGTCACTCATCCATCTCAATATTCTCATCATGCTATAGTCATTCTATAAGTATAAATATTAATTTTAAAGTTGATGCTACTTATAAGATACTTTATCTATGTCAGATACTAACACATGTATCTAACATAGCTAAATAGGAGTGAAGAAACATAAAAGATTAACCGTACACAGCCTATGTATGCACACATGGCATATAATACGCAAATGGCATCCATTGTTTGTTTTCAATATGGACAGCGGAGATCGAAATAAAGTGCAAAATCACAAACATCCAACCAGATTCAGTTCCTTCTTCGCCATTCATCGCATAAAGGGACGACGGATGGTCTAGCTAGGAATCATTTACATACGCATTCATTAGACAATGGCAAAAAGCCAAGGTACAAAAGTTTCAAAAAAAAAAAAA